TTTTCAAATCTCATTCTTTTGATCGTGAATGGTGTTTATTTTTATAGCACCCCGTTTTTCTTTTATATGGGCAATGTCTCTTCTGATTTCTATGAGATATTAATGATCATTTCTTTTTAATTGTTTTCTCTCCATATCAACTTTGTTTCTTGTAATTTTTTTCCTTTCTCTCTTTGACCATGTTGTGTGTATCTTTTATATTATAAGATTTTCTCAAACAGTTGGTGATCCGTGTCCATTCATACATCCGTAAGAATGAGGTATTAGAAGCATTGCATATTTATTCATTGTTGGCTTCATGTAGGAAAATAGCATTGGCCTCCTACTGGGTACTCTCTGATGGCAATATTATTAAATCATTTTGGAAAAGGACTGGTCAAATTATTCAAAAAATGTTTTTTCCCTGTTCTCCTTAGGAAAGGAAGAAGGCTGAAAATATCGACATTCAGTATGTAAATCCATCATTTTCTTATGGTTTTCACAGCCTCAACTCTATCTGGAGATCCTGTGACCAGCATTTTATGCTCTTTAGAGAATAAACATGCTGAGGAGGGAGAGGTGCAGGCACCTAGGATGTATGGAACAACAATGGGACTAACTGCTTCTTAATAGACTTTCAACCAACCCCCTGTATCTGGCATTGCCTGTACTGTCACTTCTTGAGCCTTGTAGTAGTTCTGCAACACAAACCACGCTTCTTCTTACCTTTCCCCATTGCCAACTTGGTAAATAGCACTCTCAGCCTTTAAGTCAGTTACTACTCCTCCAGCTGCTTTCCAGCTTGCAATTAACTTGTGTGTTTTGTTGACTCTTCTGCCATCTTCTTTGTACTTACAAATTTATCTGCTGATGCTGGAGGGACCGTGGAGCCAGGGCCTGCCATGGTGCCTGTTTTTAAGGTCTGACCTTCTTCACAGCCAGAAAACACCAATGGAGCTTGGGGACACCCCTCTTGGTACCTCAAATACAAACTTATGGGAGGAATTCTCTACCTTTTATAAATGTATCTCATAGTTTAGGAATTCTGAGCAGAAAAGGATAAAAATATTTTCTCAGTAGAGAATCCTATGCCATAATCTTAATTTCCACTATAAAATCATACAGGTTTTCTTCTTCAAGCCTAAGCTTATATAACTAACAGTTCTAAAAATATTTGTTTAATTACAGTAACAATAATAGCATTTAGATAGGCATTCACTAAACCATATATTCTTCTCTAATATTTTAAGTTTTTGTATCTTTTAATCCTTACAACCAATCTTAAAGTTAAGTATTTTGCCCTTATTTAATTAATGCAGACTATGAAGTTTGAAAAAGTCAAATACATCTCAAGTTGCCCAAGTATCTTTGTCCTGGGATTTGAACCCAAAACACAGGATCAACACAACTATACTACACTATCTCCCAGACTGCATATATCCATTTTAGCACAGACAATAAATACCAATACATATCCATGATCTAGGAATTTGATTCATTAAAAAAATAATAATTACATGTCTATTTGTGAAGGAAGAGTGAGTCTCCTTTATTTATAGAGAAATTGTATCACCCTGTCATAGCAGTTTCCAAGGGAATGTGTGCAAAATTGGCCAAGTCTAGATCTTTTAAATGTAAAGCCTTCCACAAATGAGTAAGCATCTGACTCACGTTAATTCTACAGCGTTAATATGCTGGCCAAAGAGTCAATAATGGAAAAAACAATCTGTACTTGAAATATCACTTGAGGTTTAATTAGCACAATAAAAATGAATTGGGAAGCATGAATAGCCAAGGCAGGATAAACCATTTGCCAGGCACTACTTCCTGGCTTAATAAGATTTGAAATCGGCACAAGAACAGAGCAAAGCTCAGCAATGCTTCCAACAGCTTCTAGCACTACCATAATGGGATCCTGATTTGAGCTTCAGAGATGGCGTCCTTTGCACTCTGAGAAACCTCACTGGAGATAAGAGATGGTCATCTGCCCAGGCAGACAGACACCTCTGTGTCAGTGTCTCTTGACCTGGATGTGTTCAGGAAAAACATACCAGCCTGTAGATCTCAGCAGAAAATCATAAACTATCTAGCAAAAAGGCTGACTTTCTTTAGACCAGAGCTTTAATGTGCACATGAGTCACCAGCAGATCTTGTTAAAAATATTGCTTTTTTTCCAGTAGGTCTGGGTTGGGGCCTGAGAATCCAGATTTCTAACAAACTCTCTGTTCCACAGACCACACTTGGAGTAGCAAGAGTTTAGACAATGGATGTTGAATAATTGTTCACTAATCTTCTGTTTCTACAACTATTATTCTTAAACCAACAGTGGTCTAAGTAATCATCTAGTCCCGCGGTCGGTCGGCAAACTGCGGCTCTTGAGCCACATGCGGCTTCTTGGCCCCTTGAGTGTGGCTCTTCCTAAGCGTTAGGAGTACCCTAATTAAGTTAATAACAATGTACCTAACTATATAGTTTCAGTTTAAAAAATTTGGCTCTCAAAAGAAATTTCAATCGTACTGTTGATATTTGGCTCTGTTGACTAATGAGTTTGCAGACCACTGACCTAGTCCACCAAACTTTCCCCAAAATGTGCAGTGTGTTCTTTGATCATCTT